TAGTCGTTCGAAGCACTTCATCAGGATGGGAGTAAGTGCAACAGGACGGTAGTCATTAAAGCAGGAGGGAGATGACTTTTTTGGAACCGGAATGATTGTGGTGGCTTTAAAACATGTGGGGACGACAGCCTGGATGAGTGATATGTTGAAGATGTCTGTGAAGACATCAGTGAGTTCCACTGCACAGTCTCTCAGTGCACGACCAGGAATGTTGTCAGGACCCGGAGCTTTACGTGCATTGATCCTGCTGAGGGATCTCCTCACGCTGTCCGGGGACAGAGTCATCACCTGGTCACCAGGAGGGGGTGGGGTCTTCTGTGCAGTGGTGCTGTTTCGGACTTCAAAGCGAGCAAAGAAAGTGTTCAGCTCGTTCAGCAGGAGGATAGTGCTATCACAGGTCTGTGGTGGGGGCTTGTAATCTGTGATGGTCTGAATGCCTTGCCACAGGCTCCGTGAGTCTCTGCTGTCTTTGAAGTGATGAGATATTTTCCTGGAGTACTGTCTCTTAGCCTCTCTGATGCCACGGGAAAGGTTGGCCCTAGCTGTCCTCAGGCTCGCCTCGTCTCCATCTCTGAAGGCAACATTCCGAGCTTTCAGCAGCCTGTAGACCTCTCCTGTCATCCATGGTTTTTGATTGGCCCGGACAGTTATGGTTTTCGTGACTGTTACATCCTCAATACACTTGTTGATGTAGGCAGTAACAGTCTCTGCGTACTCCTGGAGGTCAGTGGTGTTGTTATAGGTGGCAGCCTGCTTAAACATGTTCCAGTCTGTAGTATTAAAGCAGTCCTGTAGAGCCTCTGAAGACCCCTCTGGCCACACTTGTATCCGCTTACGAACCGGTTTGGTGGTTTTAACGAGCGGTCTGTAGGCAGGCATTAGCATGACAGTGATGTGGTCTGAGGCGCCGAGGTAGGGGAGGGGAAAAGCTTTGTAAGCTCCTCTCTGGGTGGTGTAAACAAAGTCCAGTGTGTTATTTCCCCTTGTTGGAAAGTCTATGTGTTGTTGTATTTTTGGAAACACGCACTTTAAGTCTGCATGATTGAAATCCCCAGCCAGGATGAGAAAAGCATCAGGATGGGCTGTCTGCTGCTCACTGATGTGCTGGTACAGTTCATTCAGTGCCTCATTCCTGTTGTTGACATTGGAGGAGGGAGGGATGTACACAGCGCACAGGAGTATGGCTGTATATTCCCTCGGTAGATAGAATGGCCGGCACTTAATAACCATTAACTCCAGCACTGGTGAGCAGTGTTTGCAGACCGCAACAGCATCGCGACACCAGGCATCATTGATGTAAACACAAAGTCCTCCCCCGCGGGTCTTACCTCCCGCGACGATGACTCTGTCAGCACGGTAGCATGTTAGCTGGTCGAGCTGAATGGCGCGGTCCGGGACACTGTCGCTGAGCCATGTTTCCGTGAACACAAAAGCACAGCAGTCTCCACCCACCACCACTTCCCCTGCCGGTGGCGGACTCCCTCAGGTGTCGGTGTGTTGGTGGTTCTTTGTGTCTGGGGGTGGGCGTCCGGGTACACACCGGCTCACTCCTTGGCGGCCGCTTGTCGGGGCCTGGGGCCTGGGGCTCGCTCGGGCCCCTTTGGAGGTGGGGTGCCCCCGGCCTCTCGGCCTGGGGCTCGGTCACTCAGGCGCAGCTGGGGGCCGGCGGAGCTCACGGGCGCGTCACTGCAACTCCCCCTGACTTCTGCTCCGCGGCTGCTGGGCGAGCCCTCATCTGGGACTCTCCTCAGCTCTTACTGGAACAGTGGCGCGGCTGCCCCTCTGTTGGTCTTCCATGGTCTCTTGTGTTCTGGGGCCTCTGGATGTCTGGAGTTTTGATCTCCTCCATACCCGCTTCACACCCTGGAGGACGGGGCTGTGGCCCCCCCACACTCCCTAGCAGATCATTACATGGAGAAACCTTTGGAATGCAAGCATGCTGATCCACACAGGTATGCACACATGGGTATTCACAGACGCGGACTAAAGCTTTCTTGGCTGCTGCCTCAAAGCACACTGTGCGCTGTCTATCTTGCGTGCTGCACAATATCGTTTATTATTTAGTAAATATTGATATCTATGACTAGCTAGTTTATTGTGATGGTGCTTTGTTTTCTCTATTATTATGTTGCTCTTTGTTGTTTGCTGTCTCCTCTGTTTGTTTTTTTTGTTTGTTTTTTTTTTCTCCATACAGGTGACCCAGGAGTTCTTTTTTTTCTCTCTCTCTTCCCCCCCCTCTCACCGTCTCTTCTCCCCTTTGGTTTTCTTTCTTTCTCTCCCCCTCTCTCTCTCATTCATTCCCCCTGTCCTATTTATTTAAAAAAAAAAAAAAAAAAAAAAAAAAAAAAAAACAAAGGATGAACTGAAGCTCTGCCATCACGTAATGTACTGCTGTTTCTGATGTCATTTAGAAAAAAAAAAAAAAAAAAAAAAAAGACAAAGGATGAACTGAAGCTCTGCCATCACGTAATGTACTGCTGTTTCTGATGTCATTTAAAAAAAAAAAAAAAAAAAAAAAAAAGCACAGCAGTCCTTTACATTCCTTTGAGATGAACGTAGCAGTCGGATGTCGTCCAGTTTATTTTCTAGCGAGCGTACGTTGGCCAGAACGATAGAGGGGATGGCGGGTTTGTGTGGGCTAGCCGCTAGCCTAGCTCGGATGCCACCGCGCTTACCCCTCTTCTGCTTCCTCTCACACCACTTGAGGCGCATCCATTGTGGGCGAAGTGCGGGAGTGGGGGTCGGTGATTGAGTAGGCCTTCGGAGCAGACCCAGATCTTTCAGCTTCTCGGTGTCCACAGAGTTTAACTTAAAAAGTTTGTTTCTGCTGATGTCGAGAAGAAGTGTTCGGGCATATCCTCGCTTGCACACAGATAGACGCGACAAAGACTTACAAAAACACTGCAACTTGCAGGACGAAAAACACGAAAAAGTAGTTTGTTTGGGAGAGAGAGAAGCCGCTGCGTGTGCACGCGCCGCCATGTTGGATCAATTATATTATATATATATATATATATATCCATCCATCCATTCGCTTCCGCTTATCCTTTTCAGGGTCGCGGGGGGCGCTGGAGCCTATCCCAGCTGTCATAGGGCGAGAGGCAGGGTACACCCTGGACAGGTCGCCAGTCTGTCGCAGGGCCAACACACAGGGACAGACAACCATTCGCACTCACATTCACACCTAGTGACAATTTGGATTATCCAATTAACCTATCCCCACAAGCTGCATGTGTTTGGACGGTGGGAGGAAGCCGGAGTACCCGGAGAGAACCCACGCAAACACGGGGAGAACATGCAAACTCCACACAGAAAGACCCCGGCCTGATGGTGGAATTGAACTCAGGACCTTCTTGCTGTGCGGCAGCAGTGCTAACCACCGTGCTGCCCGTTAAAGTCAGTCATATATATATATATATATATATATATATATATATGACTGACTTTAATTATTACACATTTGCACATAAATAAGTGGCGTCATATTCAGTACTTTTGACAGTTCACTCTTCGGTCGCTCCATCTTATTGGGGAAATTCCACATACATAAATGTAAATTTCAAAACTCAACCCCATCATTTAATTTGTTTTTGATTGAAATTGAATATTACTTAAACTCTCTTAAATTAACTTCAAATAAAAAAGGTTTATCATTGATTGAAATTCATTCAGAAATGTTTAACGAATGAGCTGTCACAACTTTCAAGTACAAAGTTGTTGTAGCACCCTCAAGGATTGACGTACACACGATGTAGTTATAAAACAGGGTTTATTCTGGTCTTGGCAACCTGTGAGAACTGCTCACGGACAAAACAATAAAACAAAAACATCACATCAAAATGCACTCTTGTACGTAGTGCCAATCAATCAAAAATCCTTAATTACAGAAAATAAACATTTAAAATACACAAACCTCGTGAGCTGACATCCAGGAGGTACTAAATAGTCCTTTATGGCCTTATTGCCTTATCTTCCATCGTCTTTGTCAATTATTTCCACTCTTAAACGATATTTTCTCCATGTGTGGAGCTAACTGTGAGCTGCAGCATGCAGACACCATGTGCGCTAGCAAAAGAAAAGTGGCTGGGTGGAGACCCAAACAGCAAAGCTGTACCCTACACAGTTCACCACCAGAGGGCGTAAAGGAACAAAATCCAGACATACAGCTTAACAAATATCAAATGCAACAAACATCAAATGCAACAAACATCAAATGCAAAAGACCGTTACAGTTGTTATGAAGTCTGTCACATTCCCCCCCTTTTTTCTTTTTTATCCTTTATTTATTTATCCTTCTTATTTCATTGTGCTGTATATTGTTACTTTTATTTGCCTTGTATGTCTACTGTACAAACTGAACTGGAATGACTGACTGTTGGCTTTATAAGTTTAATAAAGTTTGGGAAAAAAAAAAACCTCTGGCTGCTCCCTTCTGCCGTATTTTGCGGCAAAATTATCCACACCCACCGCCGCGCTATGAATTGTGGGATATATGGGACCATGAAGCGTGCACCGGACCACGCTTGATATTTGGGGAAATCGACGGCGCATTTGGAGTATGCATTTGAAGTACACTTCGAATTGGAACAGCCGTCGTCGCGTGGCGGTGACATAACCGCACTTAAAATGCGTACTTCCAGCGTGCAGACCCTGAATTGGGACACAGCCACAGTGTGCTGTACTCTGTTCCTGATGCTGATTCTGAGCACGCTCAGTGTTAGTGCATGAGGTTGATATGAAGGGGAGGAGCCTGGTGCTCCTAGCAGAGCTAGCATTGGTCAGCTGTACTGCAGGTGGTGGGAGGTGAGCTCTGATTGGCTGTTTGTAGCATAAAACAGGAAAAAGCTGAGGTGTTTGCAACAGTTTTCTTCTTCATGTCACAGGTGTGAACACTGCTCCTCCTCGCCGTGTGTTTCAGTCTCTTCTTTCTTTCATCTTTTGATTTGTTCTTTTCTCTCTGGTTTCATTGCTTTCTCTCCTTCTCTTTGTGTCCTCAGTGTTGCTCCTCCTCCTCGCCAACACCGCTCGCTCACAATGGCCGACTGGACCGACTGTCTGAATTTCGGCATCTCCATTGCCAAACAGGCCAGTAAGGTAAGTGACACAGCAGCCAATCACAACACAGCACTGAGGTCACAGGTCATGGTGTGGCGTTTTTAATTGTAACAGGTGCTTCTGGTGTGAATCCTGATTGGACGGCTGCTCAGTCAGCTACAGGTGATGATGACACTGCGGTTCAGCAAGCGGTCAGGTTTCCTAGGAACATTCAGGAATGTCACGGAGCAGAGTTTACACACACAGGCGCGCACACAGACACGTGCATGAACGGACACGCGCGCACACAAACGTTTGTGTGCCTTTACCTGCGTCTTTGCTACCAGGTGGTGCTGACAGCGTTCCAACAGGAGAAGGAAGTGAAGCTCAAAAGCTCTCCGGCTGACCTGGTGACAGAAACGGACCAACGAGTTGAGACGATCATCTTATCTGCCATCAGGAGCCAGTATCCTCAGCACAGGTTCTATTGAGTTCTACTGTCACACTGTCTTTATTTTGCTTCATTGTGTCACAGTCGACTAATGAATCCAGCATGAACTCTGGGGAGGGACCCGTTACACAAACTGGATTCAGATTGGACGCCCAGGTTGTAAACTGTTTTAAAGTCTGCCTAGTGACGGCGGGCAGGAAGTTAGCAGGTAGATGATATTACACCTGTGACCTCAGGTTCATCGGGGAGGAGTCTGTGGCTGCAGGTGAGCGTGTAGAGCTGACCGATCTCCCCACCTGGATCATTGACCCTATTGATGGGACCGTGAACTTTGTCCACAGGTGAGTGGCTCCGCCCACATTATGAACTCGCACACATACGGTGTCCCCAGTTTAAAACCCCACAAAGGTTTGAGAACCTGAAAACATGAAGTCTTAGGACCGTCGTTGCCCTCGGAGAACGCGAGGTAACAGAGGTTAGAGCAGTGCTTCCCAAGGCCCCCCTTTATTTTAAATTCTTACACCCCCCCCCCGCTTTGGGAAGCACTGCGCTAACAGATCCTTTGCTGTCTTTCATCAGGTTCCCGTTTGTTGCCATCTCCATCGCCTTCACTGTCAACAAGCAGGTAGGCTGAGCCATCGGTCTCCGGGGTCGGGGGTCAGAGTGGTCCGACTGACTCGTACTGCTGTTCTCAGACGGAGTTCGGGATCGTGTACAGCTGTGTTGATGACAAACTGTTCCACGCTCAAAGAGGAAGAGGGGCATTCCTGAACGGAGAGCCACTGCACGTCTCTGGACAGGAAGGTGACATCACACAGGACACCATGCTTGTGTGGCGTGCATTTATGGTGGATCCGGCTTCACGCTGACCTTTGTCTCAATCAGATATCAGCCAGTGTGTGGTGGTGACAGAGATTGGGGCAGAGCGTGATGACCTTGCGTTGTCCACCGTGACATCCAACATCTTCAGACTGCTGAAGCTTCCTGTGCACGGGTAAGGCCCTGCCCCCGGGCCCCCCTGCCCCCCCTGGCCCTGCTTTTTGAGCATGCTCAGTGCACCTGCATTGACTCTGAGGTTTGAATCCTGATTTTCTTTCTTCTTAATTTCATTGGTGTGCTGTATAAATAAAGTTTGAATCAGCACACCAATGAAATTAAGAAGAAAGAAAATCAGGATTCAGAGCGCTTCATTGATCACTGATTGGATCCATCACAGAGCAGCTCGAAGTGCAGCAATAGCTGAGAGGTCAGAGGTCGGTCTCGGGGTTGGTGTGGTGTTCAGGTCCAACCGACCTTCCTGTGGGCTTCACACCCAAAGCTTTCTTAAAAGATGTGAAGGTCACATGACCTTTGCATGCTCTCTGACCTGTTGGCACACATGTACCGACCTACTTTCCTCTTTGAACGAGCCTGGAAGAGACCACAGCTCTTTCTGCATTTTGAACTTTTTTGTTTTTTCGCGTTTGTGTTGACGTGTTGTTGCTTGCGTGTTTCAGAGTGCGTGCACTGGGCACAGCAGCGGTTGACATGTGTCAGGTGGCGACAGGCGGTGCCGACGCCTACTATCACATCGGGATGCACTGCTGGGACATCGCTGCCTCCGCCATCATTGTCCGGGAAGCTGGAGGAGTTGTCAAAGATACAGACGGTCTGTATCTGCCGCATGATGTCGTGTCACCTTTTTTAGCTGCGAGGCGTCGTCTAATTGGTCCGTGTGTCCTCAGGCTCAGAGTTTGACATGATGTCCCGAAGAGTCATCGCCGCCAGTTCCGCCGCCGTAGCCAGTCGCATTGCTCAGGTGATCCGGCCGTTCCCCTGTAGCCGTGACGATGATGACCAACACAGGTGTGTGTGTGTGGGGCAACCGGTGTGACCAGACTGTAGGTCAGCTGACAGGAAGTGTGCTGCTGCAGACGATAACGTATTGAAAGCGATTAGTGACACTTCTGTGATCAATGAACCAATAAAAATCTGCGTGCAAACGTTCCTGTTCTTGATTGGTGAGCTTAAACCTTCTGAACACACGACTGATTTAGACTAAACAAGTGTGAGCTCTCAGATGACCGTGGTGATGTCAGACTTGCTCAGGCCGATCATCAGACGGAAGGCGGAGCTTAAGACGGAAGGCGAAAGCCGTTGTTAACAGGAAGTTTTTATTGAAAGTGTGTTTAGCAAACTGATATGCCAGTGCTGAAATCAGCACAATGAAATCTCCGTGGAAAGCACATCGCTGTGAGTTGCTGAGGGTAATTCTGCAGCGTCATGTCGGAACACCTCATCCACATCAGGCAACATCTTCCCTGGGAATGTGATCCAGCTGTTCACATCCTGTGTGCCACAGAAGCGTGAGGAGAACCCCGCTGTTATGCTGCAGCGTCTCCGCCTTCCCCTCGCCAGTTTAAAGCCTGCTTCATCTGTGACGGTGTATTCATGGGGCCTTTCCAGGTTTCTCTAAAACAGACGCGCAGTAGTTTCCTGTAGGTGACACAGAGACTTTACAGTAGAGGCACTCCAGATTTATGTACATTACAATAATGTTTACAGTTCAGTAAAAGCAGCAGAGGCTGCAGTAACAGGACAGACATGGATTACAATAGCTGACTAAATATCATCAGTGATGATTGTTCTTGGTCTTCTTCATTCCCCTCCTCTTCCTCCTGTGCCTCGCTGTCTGTCCACTGTAGATGCACCTGTGCGCTCTGAACTGGCTCTTATCCTGATCACCTGTTGCTGTGGGTAACAAACAAATACGCTTCATTCACTGTTTGTTTCACAGTTTAAGCAGGATGCCTGTAATCACCTTCATCACCACCAGCATCATTGTTATCACCTCCACCAATCAGGCTTGAAAATGCTGAGCGATGCTAGGGAGTTAACCTTCTTGATACTGGTTCAGAGTCGGCCATTAAAGTGGCGAACCGTGTCTGACGTGGAGCGATACGGTCGAGGATGGAACCTGTCTCTCTTCCACAGCATGTCTTTATCCTGTCTTCCTTCTCTCACCCCAACCAATCACAGCAGATGGCCCCGCCCCTCCCTGAACCGGAGGTTTCGTCCTGTTTAAGGGAGTTTTTCCTTCCCACTGTCGCCAAAGTGCTTGCTCACAGGGGGTGATATGATTGTTGGGTTTTTCTCTGTATGTATTATTCTAGGGTCTACCTTACAATATAAAGCACCTTGAGGTGACTGCTGTTGTGATTTGGCGCTGTGTAAATAAAACTGAATTAAATGGAAAATCCTGATTCACACAGATGTGTAGTTGTGAATGGGAGAAGGCGTTTCACAGCTCTCAGTGCCAGACATGGGTACTCCTTTGAGACAGGACTCCAGCCCAGGTCCAGTTTGCCCCACTGCAACTTTAGAGTGCTGTCGGTGGAAACTTCCCGAAGCTGGGATTCCAGATGTGAGGGCAAAGCAACATCATTTTCCGTGGTATTCACAGAAAATGGGTCCATAAATCCACACATGCCCTTCTCAGGGATCATCAAATGACTCTGTCAGTTGTGAAAGGTGCTGACAGGCTGAGTCACTGACCTTCACCTGAGGTGTGGGACAAAAGTGGAAAGATGTCCATCGTTTTCTCCTGGGCCCTCTTAGTCCACAAAGCAAGTTTCTCTCTTGAAGTGAGATGTTCAGCAGTGAGAAAACGTCACAGAGGTAGACAAGCTCAGCTGTGACCTTTGAGTTGGCATGATAATGTCTAAGAGGAGACTCCTTTCTTCTTTGTTTTCTTTTCTTTTCTCCGTGTGATAAGAGAAGACCTCGTTCCTCAGTTCAAACAAACACTTGAGGACCAGTCCTGTCCCATCTCACCTCACTGTGGTAGAGCAGCTGGACATGATCTGCTTCCATGTCCTCACAAAACATCTGGAGTTCACAGCATTGTTTTCAATGAAGTTGATTGTTTTCACTTCCATCATCTCGTGGAACTCTGGTCACATCGTTTCTAGCTTCTGGTGCACGATCAAGAATCAGCATAATGACGCCCTGACAGCTGCCAGTCATTGAAGCTGCAGCATCACTGCACACCAGTTCTGCCAGTCCAGGTCATTCTCAGTGAAACATCCTGAGTGTTGGTAGCTCTCCAAAACAGCCAGTCTTCATGCAAACTGCTGTCCCAGCAATAACAAACAGAAACCAGTGTCAGGTGGCAATGGTGACATCAGTGGACTCGCCTAGTTGCAAAGAGACAAATGGACTCTCTTTATTCTTCCCAGAAACCGATGCTGTATGTCTCAGGCCCTGTCTGTGATACGGCAGCTCAGTGTCGTTTGTCACTTTCATCTTCATCTTTTGTTTTAAGAACTTCTCCATATCTAACTGTAAATGGCAGACAGCGTCTTCTTCTGCTTGCTTATTGAGCTGATTAAACACCTCTCACCAAGCAGTGGGGAGCTGTATTGTAACTGAGATTTTCATGGGTGAGAGTAGTCCCCGGTGTCTTTGATTAGTAACTTATGATATCACGCGGTCCACAGGTGTAAAACTAAACTCACGGTGTGGCTGGCGGCATATCCATGGTTAAGAATCACTGCCCTGCACCATTTACTGATCACAAAGTTATATCAATTAAAATAAACATATCCACCATCTCTGAACCTGCTACTAACTCTGGTTACTGGAAACCCAATAGCTCACTATTAAACAATAATCAGTTTCAGACAGAAATAAAAGACTTGATCTCCACGTTCTGGACAAAAGATACTGATTTTAGAAGGAACTGATAACTTTGTAAATTTGAAACATGGTTGTTAAAAAGTTCAAGGAAAGCCTAAGAGGCTAATATTGTAGCAAATATTTTCACTATTTCCAATAAAAGACCAGAAACTTTATTAGAGGAAGAAGAAATGGAATTGGCAAATCTTCAAGTTAAATTAGACGACCTGTCAGAAAGCGATGGGAGCTTTGAAGATGAATCTTCTCAAAAATAACAAATCACCAGGAACAGACGGTCTATCTGCAGTTTTATCAGGTTTTTGCTGCTGAGCTGGGCCCGCGTTGGGACTGCCCTCTCTCATTCGCAAACCCAATAAAGATCGTTTACTTCGAGATAATTGGCGCCTATTTGTCTGCTTAGTAATGATTACAAGACGTTTGCTCTAATTTTAGCAAAGAGGCTCAAAATGGTCCCGAGCTCCCTCATAGATGAACACAATCAGGTTTGTGGCTAACAGACATAACCAACAATATCAGATCAGTGCTGGACATTTTAGACTACTGTCAACTTTTTGATGACAATGGAGTCGTGTTATTTTAGGTTTTTGTGAAACACCAGTTCACAGTCCTGACATAAACTTGGCTTTGGAAGTGACTTCATCCGCAGAGAGACTACAGAAACGCTAACAGCTCAGTGACACTAGCTGGTGGAACCTGTCCTAGATCTGATCTGTCGACAGGCATCAGGCAAGGATGGCCTGTTTCTCCGTACCTCTTTTTACTAGTCGCCCAACTCTTAGCAGACCATATTAGATCCAGTAAAATTCAATGTATTTCTCTGCTGGACAGAAGTCTGATCATCACTCAGCTGGCTGGTGGTACTACCCTAACCCTTATTCTGAAGAACAAAAACCAAATGTTGCAGCTCTGGAGTCAGTGAAAGCGTTCTCTGGAGCTTCTGGCTTAGATCTGAATATTAACAAGTGTGAACAAAGTGCTGAAGTCTTTATTTTGGAAGGACATCTTACAGAAAACTACAGATCTACAAAAGAAGCCTGACACAGTAAATATAACTGACCTGATTATGGCCAAGTTTTATATACATAAGTGTACATTCAGAGACACTAACCCTGCATTATGTTCTCTAAAGATGAATTCAAACAGCACATTCAGTGTGTTCAACCATCACAAAACCTGAAGGCAATTAAAGCTGTAGAAGCCTCTTTCTCTAGTCTGTTATCGCCCCCTAGTGCGAAACAACCCTGCTGTAAACTGCTCTTTGCATAGAATTATTTTATTTTACTTGTTTATGTTTGTCTTTTTTCCTCCACTACAACATTCATGAGTGTGACCACGAAGAGCGTTACTTTACATCATTCTCTTACCTTTATTTCTCATATCAGTGTCATATCATCTTTAATGTCACCTGCCTGGAGCTGGACTCTCTCAGGGTGGTGTCGGAGAGGTGGATGCTGTCCAAGATAAAGGTGATGCTGGCGAATACCTCCCACACACTCCATGACATGCTGGTCAGCCACAGGAGCACGCTCACTGAGATACCCATAATGCACCATGGAATGACACAGGAAGTCGTTCCTGCCCATGGCCATCTCCCTGTGCAACTCCTCCATCTAACACACTGTGAACACTGCAATAGTTACAGCCTTTTCCACACGCTCTTTTCTATTTTACTGTAATATTCCTGTCAGTGTTCTTGATGCTTATTTATAATCACCTCTGTCAATCCTTGATGTACTGAGCCCTCTCCTGTACTCACTCTACACCTACGACTGCACGGCCACTAACAACTCCAACATCATTGTGAAGTTTGCGGACGACACTACAGTGGTGGGTCTTATCACCAACGGTGATGAGACGGCTTACAGGGAGGAGGTCAGCGCCCTGACCCACTGGTGTCAAGACAACCATCTCACCCTCAACGTCGCAAAGACAAAGGAGTTGATAGTGGACTTCCGGAGGTGCAGAGAAGTACACACCCCCATCACCATCAACGGCGCTGCTGTGGAGAGAGTGAGCAGCTTCCGGTTCCTTGGAGTACATCTGGCTGAGGATCTTACGTGGTCAGTACACACAAACAAAACAGTGAAGAAGGCGCAGCAGCGCCTCTTCTTTCTCAGGAGACTGAAAAGATTCGGCATGAGCCCCCGCATCCTCAGGACCTTCTATCACTGTGCCATTGAGAGCATCCTCACTGGATGCATCACCACCTGGTATGGCAACAGCACCGCCTACAACTGCAAAGCTCTCCAGAGAGTAGTGCGGTGCTCTGAACGGATAATTGGAGGTGAGCTTCCCTCCCTCCAAGACATCTACAGGAAGCGCTGCCTGAGGAAAGCGGGGAGGATCATCAAGGACTCCAGTCACCCCAGCCATAAACTGTTCAGACTGCTTCCATCAGGAAGGAGGTTCTGCAGCATCCGGTCCCGTACCAGCAGACTGAGAGACAGCTTCTTCCACCAGGCCATCAGACTGCTGAACACGTCATAGACACCTCAGCTTCACTACTGGAACTTCAACATTATGCACTCCATACTGTATATAAATGCCACTTGTTTTGCACATGTCTCAACTCTGTATATTTTATATATTTTATTTATTGTTTACTCTATTTAATTTGTAAAATATGTGTACACACACACACACACACATTTAATATTAACATTTAGTAATGCATACACTCTTATATTGTACATATATTTATTACTCTCAGATGTAGCCATTCTTATATTTGCTTGTTCTTACGTTATTGTATTTTGCACACCTCTGTTGCTTGTGAAGCTCGCACACAAGAATTTCACTTGCATGTACTGTACCAATGTACCTGCACATGTGATGTGACAATAAAAGTGATTTGATTTGTTATTTATTATTGAGTGATTTGTATATATTGTGCTTTTTCTTAAATCTGTAACATATTGTATTGTTAAATAGTCTGTTTCTGTTACTGTACTGGAGCAACTGTAAACCACATCGTTTCCTGAGGGATTAACAAAGTATGCTGATTGTGATTCTAACATTGCTTATCTGGATATGTACAAGATCTTTGATCTGTAATGTTCTGTGTTTGAAATAAAGTACGGAGCTACGGCTGTGCAGGTACCGTAAAAGTACCAGGTACTATGACCTAATGCAAAACCCTGAAAACCGTGCCACGCCAGTAGGTAGTAGTAGGCTTTAGTGGTGTATTTGTGTGGATGCCTTAAAGGCACACTGTTGAGTTCCTGTTTCTCTTTATTCTTTATCCTTTATTATTCTAGTTGCTCCGTTTCTTTGCCGCTTAACTACTCCCTCAGTTTTCAGTCGATTTTCACCATTCAAACTTTAAACTGTTCTGCTATTTCTGCTTTCCACTGCTATATCTTTTGGTGATGATAACTTTTATACTTTTTGAGATATTCAGCTTTTTATGCCATTTTTTGGCCCATTTTGCTGACAGGTACCACATTATCAGTGTGATCACTAGTTTTGCTGCTGAGTTGTGTTTTAGCTCAGTGAGATGAGCAGCCGTTCTCAGAGTAGGAGGCGCGGGTTCGAATCCCGCTTATGGCAACATTTTCTTCAGTTAACACTTCAACTGTTTAAACTTTTCCACACAAATTTCAGCTTTTTCACCTCTTTTCAGCACAATTTTCAGGTTCCTTATCTCTTTGTTGCTGAACATTCAGCATTTTCACCTCTTTTCTGCGCATTTAGCTTCTTCTGCACAGTGCACGTTTTTTTCCTCTCATCATATCTTTGTTTGGGACCAGAACTGGTTTGGCGCAGTGGGATGCGCAGCTGCTGTGAGATCTGGTGGCAAGGGTTCGAGCACTACATGGGACAGATGCTGGACATCTCCCCTGCTTGCATGTAATCTGCTTTCTTGACAGTCTTCAGTGTAGTCTTTCAAATAAAGCAGAGTTCAGCTTCTACACCTGTTTTCAACAGATAGCTGTCCTGCTGTTTTCAGATTCCACTACACGGCGTTCACACTGCATTTTCGCAGGAAATGCAACCTTTTCTAGTGTTGTTGTTGTGACAGTCAATGTCCAGTAGGAGGCGGCAGCGCTCAGTCGTAGAACGTAGAAGAAGAAACCCGAAAGTGGAGCTGCTAACCCGTTACGGATTACCTTCAGACCGACCTCGAGAGCCTCAGGTGCGTTTTCAGGGTTCGCGCTGTTCCTCTTTACTTGTTTTCGAAACGTCTCGTTGATCCGCCGCCTTACTTCCGGTTTTGGAATTTGTGGCGGGAATCAGCGGCGTAGTACTTCCGTTCAGAAATCAGCTGATTTCATACGGCGCGGCAGTGCCGGTGGGCACGCGCACGGAAAGGTGTCGGCGCGCTTGACACTTCGTCACGTGCCACCAGGTAACGCTCATTGATAATCAGTATATACTCGGTTAGTGACCGTAAACTCGATGAGAGGACGCGCTGAGACAGCCACTTAGCGGTCACCTGTGGCCAATTCAGGACCCGCTGTGATAGGTCAGGATTGGTGTTACTGGATTATCGATCCATCACCTCCCAGATTGATGTTATTGATTACTGATGTGGTTCTTATGATGAGGACTCTGGGCATTCCTGGTGCATTCCAGAAGTCCCTCATGTCTCCTATTCCTGACGCTCTTCCTTGACCTCGATGAAAACGTCACTGAGGTCAAAGGTGAGAAGGAGAACTGCTGAGGACTCAGGAAAAGGGAAGAGGCGTGCACTTAGAACCGGAACAACCTTACACTTTTTTTTTTAAACTTTATTTAACAAACAATGAGTATACAACATACGAACAGATGAAGTATACAAAACAACAGAACATGAACACACAAAGCCAGGGGTAAAGAAAAAGGTAACAATTATAAGAATACACGCAAAAATTCACATACATATATTGTTTTGAGCCTTTTTGTTGGTGGAGTCTGATATTGATTGTATGTACATTCCCACATCCTTAAAATAATGACAGAAATATGGTGTTTTAGTAGTAAACTTACATTTATGGATAAAAAATTTAGCTAAAAGTATTAACAAATTTATCAGGAAAAAACATTTATCATACTTCTTGGGGAACTTAAAGAAACATGAACAACCTTACACTGGTGTCTCTGTAACAGGAAGTCTGCCGTGTTGAAACTACAATGTGCAGAAGACGAACTACAAAAGGCTGGTCTAGCTTCACCACAGTGTGTGTTCTTGTTTTATGGAGGTCATAGAAACGATAACAGTCTGTAAAGCATATCTTTCTGGTGTTTTAAAGGAGGAGGAACATTTTCTGCAATACTGCTAAAATGATGATATTACTAAAACTTGTGTCCCAAAACTCTTCATCAGTGTCACGCTGAGCGTTCAGAGGCGAGCCCACTTATTGGTCCTCAGTAACTGTTTCCATGAAACAGCAGAAATGAAGTGAACTCAGCTTCTGTTTCTCAGCAGTGCTGTAATCTGTAGTGGAATACATTTTAAAGTAACCTTCCCAACACTGGACATTACTAACGATCACTGATCATACAAGCACACTTTGATCAGTTCGTATAGATCATAATGTTGCGCTCATACAGCGTTCTGTGTTCTTCATGTGACGCTCAGGGTTCAGCTGTGAGTTTCACTGCTGCTGATTAAAGCTGTAAATAAATATATATACAGGTTCTGAATGAAAAGAAAAAACACTTAGAATTTACATGATCTGCTCCGCTTTGGTTACTGCGATTATGTTTTCATGAATGGTCGGATGGACAACGAATTATGGGACGCCATTTTCTCCTCCCTTTTCATAAAGACGGTCCAGTGTCTCCTCTGCTAAAGGAGGTCATAAAGGAAGCATTGAAGCTGCTTCCCCTAGTGTATGGACAACTGAAGCGTATGTCAGTGAGGAACCTTCCTGATCAAAGTGGAATATTGGAACACACCTCACGCAGTCTTTCCTCTTTCCACAGGAAGTTCCTCCTCCAACATGGCTGACCCCTGGCAGAACGCCATGGACCACGCTGTCGCCGTGGCACGAAAAGCTGGAGAGGTCAGTCGTCATCTTCCTTTTTCTTTCCCACCTGAGACTCACCTGTCAGGGCCTACAGGTGATTTCATTATGAAACAGAGGAGTCTCAGGAAGTTCATTCTTTTCACCTGAACGTCACTCGCCCATGTGACCTTCAGGGTCAGCTGACGACTGCTTGACAGTGAGCCGCACGGCCGTCACGACTGCAGAATCCGCTTCCTGCCATTTCTTCACTTACTGAGCACGCTCCAAAACAGAGGGGGTGGAGTCACTTTCTTCTTCTCTGAAACGTTCTGAGCGCAAAGAGGAAACAAAGGCTTTTATCTTGAAATCTCAGGTTAACCCCAGATGACAGACTTAGTAACTGAAACTATTGGCTGATCAGCTTCTGATTGATAAGCTATCAGTGCATTGATCAGGAGTAAATATTGATCAGTTATTGGTGCATTGATCAGGTGGTGTGTGACGCTCTGCGTGGTGACAGGGCAGTGATGACGAAGAGTTCGGTGGTGGATTTAGTGACGCAGACCGACCAGAAGGTGGAGCAGCTCATCATCCAGTCAGTGAAGGAAAAGTTCCCCACCCACAGGTATGAAGCTCCACCCCCTCTGTGCATGTCCAGTCGGATTATTGATCATCAGTTTACAAAGATAAGCGTTATGATCAGATCCAGATGTTCAGGGATCCAGCTGTGTGCTGCTGAGGAGTAGCAGAGATGACCTGCTGGAACATCTCTGGCTGCCGTCTCGTGGCTCTTCCTCGTTCAGCGTGTAACGGCTTCACCTGTTCTGTGCGATTCAGGTTCATAGGGGAGGAGTCAGTGGCTGCAGGTGAGCCCTGCGTCCTCTCTGACTCGCCCACCTGGATCATCGACCCCATCGATGGCACGACCAACTTCGTTCACGCGTGAGTTTGCACTCTCTGACATCATCATTGCAGCTTCTTTGTTTCCTGTGGGCGCTCAGAGATAGTGCTGGGCCATACTGTTCACGGTAGCACCGGTGTAATGTCGGGCAACGATAGGAAAATGAAAGATGGCGATAGAATATGGGTAAAACGCGCATGCGCAGTGCCTTTGTTTTCATACGCACATGCCGGTGTCGTGCCAAACTCGGTATCCCCGACAGAATTTGTTTCCCCTGCGTCGGGAGCACACGCTGGACTGTCCAAATCACGGACAAACAGTATCCCACATTGTTGATTTTGTTGATACTCCTGACATTTTTGAGATCTTAGCTCTTTATACAACGAAGTTATAGTGGGATACAAATAATATCAGGCTGATCCTGCCACAATTTGTTCCCCCTGTGTAACTCACGGACAAACAGTCTCCCACATTGCTGATTTTTCGTTCACAAACACTTCTTATTATGACGCATTACTCCTGAAACTTTGGAGGATTTATCTCTTTATATAGTGAAGTTACAGGAGAATAAAAATAGTTATCAGCCAAAATGTTAATGGTTTATTAAAATAATCCCATCTGATACCCCGTGAGCAATAAATATATCATTTTCTGTTGTAACCCTCAAACTGAATGGTAATGTAACGATGCTAATTTTTCACAAAATGAAAACATCAGTACTTCCTGCTCCCAGCACAGGGGAAACAAATTCTGTCGGGGATACCTACTTTGGCACAACAACGGCTATCGTAGGCGGAGCCTCGCGGAGTGATACGTGCTGTGCTTCAGCATAATGTTACCGTGTTGTGTGTGTTTAACCTCTTTTTAAGTGTTGTGGATGTTATACATGGTTATGCTGAGGACGTGTCGGCCAGTTTCCACTGGAAATGCTTTTTGGTTAAACTGTCAGCGAGGAGTTTGCACTGTTACATTTTATATAACTTTAATGCAGATAAAACAGCTGCTTGTTGAAGTGAAAATACATTGATGGGTTTTTGCACTAATAAACTTGTGGAGTTGTAAAGCATTTTGTCTCGTGTCAGTTATATCGTTATCACAAATTTTCAAATGTATATGGTGATAAATATTTTTGGCCATATCGCCCTGCTCTACTCAGAGAGTGAGGCGGGGTCTACGGCTCTTCTGATCGATTACCTCCAGATCTGAGGTTTATTTGGTCCAACTGACTCAGAGGGAATCGATCAGAGAGTCACTGAGAGATCGATGAAGGATGATCAATGTTCAGCTCGAGCCGTCCCTCAGCGGGTAGATCGATGATGTGATCATCATGAACGTTAGGATGAACCTTTACTTTGAAGCAGATGACTTCCTGTTTGGCTTGGTGTTCGGCACACTGAATCAGCTCATTTAAAACGCTGATGGGCACTGGTTACCGTGGTGACCTAACAGGTAAACAGACCTGCTCTGCAGGAACACGTATGACGGTGCCAACACGTTAACTTCCTGTGTCTGTTTCTCCTTCACAGGTTTCCTTTTGTTGCCATTTCCATCGGATTCGCCATCAACAAACAGGTCTGAGCCCACATCAGCACCATCCTCCTGACCTTTGACATCAGCAGCGACATCACAGGGCTGCAGCCCTGACTTTAGTAGTCGATTAATCAGATAAGAAATCCTTCTGTCTTATTAATGAGCAGCAATAAATACTGAAAAGTGAAAACGGGGCCGCTAACCCCACGCAGATTTTTCTATGCGTTTGCACCTTTCGTCCACACGTAAACTCAGATTTTGCGTTTACATGTGGACGAGGAACACGGAGAAAACGCAGCGTCAAAGGTGTGCGCCTCGTTTGACATCACACTGTGCGCCATGTTTTTGTGAAATGAATTTCTACAATGGCAGACTTGGACAAAATACTGTTAATTTTACTCTCTGCAGAGTTTACATGCTTACAAACAGTTACTGTCCCTCCACACATAGGACTCAGTTCTGCTTCTATGCCCCGACTTTGTTTACTCTTTCCCACCCAGGCTTCTGATTGGTCAACATTCCTACACGGTTAGGAATATATCGCCAACTGCTGCTTTGGCATGTTCCTAGCTGCGTTTTCCTTCATTTTTGCGTCTGTGGAAGGGATTTAAAAAAAGAAAAGAAAACAGAAAATCTCCGTTTTCAAAAATCCCCGTGTACGTGCAGACGTAGCCTCAGGTGAGCCTCGGTTACTTGAGCCCGGGTCTCATCCCTCTGATGGAAACTTTTCAGAGTGGCGCCATTTCTGGTTTTATCTTTCTTCAGTTGAGCTTCGCCCTGGCTCACAGGCGCAGCATCACCACTGTCTGCTTCACCTGGGAGTGTTTCCTTAGGTGGAGAGGTGGCGTGGCTGTTGCAAAACACACGCGTTAGCAAGCAATGGTGCTCCACCTGCTGCAGCATATAAAATGACCAAAAGAGTAAACGCGGCACCTCACCTGCTCCTGACTAGGTGAGGTGCTCAGCATCTGTTACCATGGCGATTTGGCAGCTAAAAAGAGAAAATCAGAATCAGCATACTTTATTAATCCCTCAGGTAATGTGGGTTACAGCTGCTCCAGTACAGAAACTGCTACAGATTTAAGAAATAGCCCTAATATATAGAAATCCCTCAATAATAAATATCAAGGATTAACAGCAACATCAGAGTAGAAAGAGCGTGTGCAAAAGGCTGTAACTACTGCAGTGTTTACAGTGTGTTAGATGGAGTTGTACAGGCAGATGAGTGTGGTGCATTATGGGTAATCTCAGCTTCTCACTGAGCGTGCTCCTGTAGGTAGCACGTCATGGAGTGGGTGGGAGGTATTATCCATCATTGTCTTTGCCTCTCTGACACCACCCTAACGAGTCCAGCTCCATCCCCACAACATTACTGGCCTTGCGATCAGTTTACTGAGCCTGCTGGCAAAACGTCAGCGCTCTCTAAACACTAACAGGTAGCTTCAGGTGTTCAAGCCACCTGAGGATGAGCATGAACGACCTCACCTGTTGACCTCACAGCGGCCTCTACTCTTCTTCCCCTCCCTCAGGTGGAGTTTGGCGTTGTCTTCAGCTGTGTGGAGGACAAGATGTTCACGGCGAGGCGGGGAAAGGGAGCATTCTGTAACGGCGAGCCGCTGCAGGTGTCCCGGCAGGAAGGTCAGCGCTCAGCGAATCGATAACCAATAAATCAGTGACATCACTTATGCGGGCGGTCGATCACCTGTTTGTTTATCTGTGTGTGATGTCATCAGCCGTGGAACAGGCGATGGTGGCCACGGAGTTTGGATCGGACAGAGACGCCGACGTTGTTGATAAAATCTTCCAAAGCCTCCGAAACATCCTCTGCCTCCCTGTTCACGGGTAAGGCTGCCGCCACGTTGACATCACTGCACGCTTGTTTTCCCATAGCTGACGTGTCCATCCGTCTCAGGGTGCGCGGGGCGGGTTCCGCCGCCATCAACATGTGTCTGGTGGCGTCGGGCTGTGTGGAGGCGTACTACGAGATCGGGATCCACGTTTGGGACGTGGCTGCCGCGTCGTTGATCGTGTCCGAGGCTGGCGGCGTGCTGATGGACGTCGATGGTAAGCTAACCCATCAACAGCACATTTCCCTGCTCAGGTGTTTCCAGCTAACGGTGTCTCCGTGTTCAGGTGGCGACGTGGACCTGATGTCCAGGAGGATCATCGCCGCTAACAGCAAAACAATCACAGAGCGACTCGTCAAAGCGATCGTCCCCTTCAGTCTGCCCAGAGACGACGCCACACCACCGAAGAAGAGCTAAACACACACTGACAGGTGTGAGGAGCACACCTTCCTGTTTGGAAAGTTTAAATAAAAGTTTTCTATGAAAGCACCCGCGTGTTTGTGTGACTGACGGCAGGTCACCATTGTTAAGGTTCAAAATACTGGGGATGGAGACAAGAGAAAAAACCACAATAACAACACTGGTCCGGCCGGGTTGAGTCAAACGATGATTTTAATGAACACACGCGGGAGATGGACACTGTATGCAGACAGCCTCAGATCTCAAAATGGTGGAGCATTAATCAAACTCTTATAGCCTCTGGTGCCTCCACCTTATCATAAAAGCCTAAACATTCACATGCTTTTCTCTCACACGGCGCCTAAGCTACGACCTTGGCTCCCCGTTTATCTGCTCCTGCTGAGTTGGGGCAGAAAACTCCAGTATGTTCTGTTCTCTATAAAAATGTTCAAACAATTTTTTTATTTTTTTTTAATGTTAAAACTCAACTTCCCATGGAAACGGAAGACAGGACGCCGAGGTGTGTTAGGACAGCTTTTATTCATTAAACTTGGTTAAACAGGTAAAGTGCAGCGAACAAAAACAGGATGCTCAAACTCCGCCTCCTGAAGTCTGCTCAAGACATGCTAACAGATGCTAAAACTGGCAGCTTCCATCGTTAGCTTGTTAGCTGAACTCTGATTGGCTGCTCATATTTGGTCCCTAATTAGTATATTTGTGCTGAGCCAATCAAAACACAGGGCCGCCCTGTCATAGCAACTGATGGGTGTAGTGGGAGGTCATACTTTAGGAGTGGGTGGAGTCAATCGCTTAGCAGCACATGAGGGGGCGGGGCTCCAGCAGGCACGGTGACGGGCAGAGGACAGAGGTTGTTAATGCGTTTAACCGGAGAGCAGCGCTGTTTCCTGAGAGGAGTGCAATTGGTCAGCGTCTGCAGAGAGACAGAATTCTGCACTGTGATTGGCTGAAAAGAAACATGGTTGAAACAGCGCATCAGACTTTCAAAATAAATCTCAGACGTCATTGTTGATGACGAACAACACCATCTGGTGATGTCACTGACCATGCGGAGGCGATGAGTGTAGAGTGGCTCTGGCTCCTCGGGTTTTCTGGTCGGAACGGTAACATGCCAACGCTGAAGCTCCGCCTTTATTTCTGCCAGACTGAAGAGGACCGCTGGGTCAGCATGGTAACGGTTAATCAGCTCCACCAAACGCTCCTTATAGTGTGACCTGTCAGGAGAAAGGGGCGGAGCCTCTAAGACCACGCACATCTGGCAGAACATCTTTACTGGGAGCTGTGGTCTTACTGGCAGTATCCTCGGTGTTCAGGTAACGCAGGTCGACCACAGGGCTCCTCCCTCTGGCTGCCATCGTCTCTCAGCTCCAGCACTGGACAGGATGCTGGAACGGGAACACACCTGTCAGTGACTCTAGGACAAAGGAGATGCCAGGTAGACAGGTAGAGGTCTCACCTGGCAGAGCGGTGTCAGGTGAGCTGACCTTGGGCGGTTCCAACCAGGAGGGAGACACTCTGTAATGCTGAGACAGGAGACAGCACACCTGTAAAGTACTGATCACAGAACAGCTGGGAACACCTCAGGGTGATCTGCTGGCTCTCACCTGCAGCACCAGGTGGAGGCGGGTCAGGCTCCAGTCCCTCAGGTAGTACAGGCAGTCTCTGGGGTGGTGAGCATGAAGACCTTTGCTCGTACAGTCTGCAGAGAAGCCACAGGCCTGCAGAGGTTAAACAACACAGGTGTCAAGTCTCTAACACACCTGTCTCGTGCACCTGGCCACTTCGGTGCTGGAAGCCGAACCATTTTCTTGTTAACTTCAAAAACATTAAAGAACTCAAATTATCAGCACGATGAATAATCAGAGCAGGTGCCTTTACTCATAATCAGACCGTTTATAAGGTGAGACGCTGTGATTGGCTCGTTTGATAACGATGTAAATATGAAACCGAGGAACAACTTTCAGTCGTCTAACACTCGTTACCCACAATCCATCTCTCTCTGACCAAACACCTGGAGCTCCACTTACACACAGCACAGCTGGAACTCACCGAGCCCAGAACGAAGCGCTGACTGCAGCCGCCGCAGAACTGATGACCGCACTGACTGCAGGTGAAGTGGAGACACCCCCCTTTGGACAGGCTGAAGACCAGCTGGCAGTTTGGACACTCTGAGGACACAGAGGGAAACGTTAGACCAGGACGGACCAGGCTGAGCCTTAGTGCGACTAAACCTCATTCGTCCAGGTGGGGAAATCGCTGGTTTGAGCGAGGAGTCGAGTGAAAAGACGTAAGGCCATCTCAGAGTTGAGGAGGGGGCCACCATCCTACCTACAATGCTGTGAATGCAGCCAACTCTCGTTGAATGGGACTCTTTGATCAGTGGGCGTGGCAATCTGCATATTACTAATGATCATAAACTGACCTCACAGCCCACTGGTCATTCAGTGGGCTGGTTTCAGCCATTATGTAAATATAATATATTTAATATAAGTCTGAAGTCTACACTTCAGACTGTGTGGCCACCCACGGCTCCAACACCATTGTGAAGTTTGCTGACGACACAGTGGTGTTGGGTGCCATCTCCAACAACGATGAGGCGGCCTACATGGATGAAGTGAAGAATCTGGCATCGTGGTGCCAGGACAACCACCTCCAGCTGAACGTCGGCAAGACCAAGGAGCTGGTGGTGGACTTCAGAAGGGGTCAGCACAGAGACTACAAGCCCATCATCATCAATGGAGCTCCAGTGGAGAGGGTGCAGTCCTTCAAGTATCTTGGTGTCCACATCTCCTCAGACCTGACATGGGCTGCCCACATTCAGGTCCAGACCAAAAAGGCTAGGCAGCGCCTGTATCACCTACGACAACTGAGGAAGTTCAGGGTCTCTCCAAAGATCCTCAGGATTTTCTATACAGGCGCTGTGGAGAGCATCCTCACACAGAACATGACATCGTGGTTCGGGAACAGCTGTGTGAAGGACCAAAAAGCTCTCCAGAGAGTGATCCGTACAGCAGAACGCTGCTGCAGGATTGCTCTCCCCGTGCTTCAGGACACCTACACCAGGAGATGCCGGACTAGAGCAGCGCAGATACTGAAGGACCCGTCCCATCCTGGCAACAAACTGTTCCAACTTCTGCAATCTGGTAGAAGGTTCCGCATCTTCCGGGCAAGGACAGAGAGACTCAAGAGGAGCTTCTATCCCCAAGCCATCCGTGCTCTAAACACACACACCCGCCCGCTCACATCATCTATAATTGACTGAGACAGGACTCTTCCAGACACTAAACCAAGGCACAATGTACATTTCAATTCCTTTAATTTCAAATATGTTTATATTGTCTATCCTGTAAAATAGTCAGATATCTATTCATATTAATGTACAGAATTCACCTGCTTGCTGCTACTACTGCACATTCACCCAATGTGTGTGTGTGTGTGTGTGTGTGTGTGTGTGTGTGTGTATATATATATATATATATATATATATATATATATATATATATTTATATAATGTTCTTCCTCTACACCCCCCCAATTTTTTGCACATGTCGAGGAGCGTGTCAGGCTACATTTCACTGTGTGTTATACTTGTATAACTATGCATGTGACAAATAAAGAACCTTGAACCTTGAAACCTGCAGTCAGCTGACACTGAAGAAGTCACCTGATGGTGGAAACGTCCAGAAGGACACAATCAACATTTGGACAGTTTGTAAACGGATGTTCTTATACTTCATTCACACAAGCACTTTTTCTGAGCTGTTAGCGTTAGCGTCTAACATGCATCACATTCACTCTCCGATGGATGCGTCGCAGAGCAACATGGTGTCCAAGGATATTTGGCATGCAGACTACGGGAAAGCCAGGAATCAAACCACCACCATTCAGTCAGTGGATGACCTGCTCTACCGCCTGAGCAGCCACCATGTCCTCTGTTCGTGGATGCTAAACGTTAATGGAACAGCTGGAGACCAGGACAGACCAGGTCCCGGCATGTCAGCTCAGAGCCCCCAGGCATTGCTTTCTGGGTTTTTTGGCGAGAACACCCACGCCGATCGTTGACTGGACCGGGTCAAGTCCTCTGAGCGTCACGCTTTCGGTGATTGAAGGCCTCGTGTGTTAGTTTGTAAACAGCAAGAGTAAAAAAGCCTTCAGTCACATGCTGACTGCTTCCACTTCTACCTGCTTGCTTATAACCACCTGAGTGATGGGGTGAAACATTAGGTTCAGGTCCTGCAGGAGGCCCTCAGAGTCTCCTGGACCTGGTTCTGGGTTCGTACCGATGCTGCTGTACAGCTGGGAGGTGCTGTGAGGGTCCGGCTGGTTCTGCTGCTGCCACACTTGGAACTGCTCACAGGACAGACCCTGATGCTCGGGGGACCACTGCAGAACACAGGGACTGTGGTCAGGACCCGATCTGAGGCTGGTTCACCTGTGTGTGTGCGTGAGAGAGTGTCTTACAGGTGATCTGCACTGAGAACAGGTGCTCTTCTTACAGCTTGGACAGTCCATCCTGAGGCGCTGGGCCTCGTGCAGCATCCCGAATGAACACTGAAACACCAAACAACAGTCGTCTCAACAAGGTTTATTCTGTAAGGTCAACGGCCCACAGTAATACAAAGAAACCCAACGAACAAGCACTCAGCGACAGCGGGAAGGCAAAACTCCCTTATAACAGGAAGAAACCTCCGGCAGAGCTCAGGGGTTTGGTTGGGGGTCGGGGGAGGAAGAGCCAGAGATGAATAATCACTAATGATTAAATACAGAAGGGTGTATAAACACATGTGAGTGAAGAAGAAACACCCAGGGTTGGATCAGGTGACCCTGAAGCCTCCCTTATTTATGCTGCTATAGGTCTAGGCTGCTGGGGGTTTCCCATGATGCACTGGGTGTATGCTTTATCAAAAAGGAAAGTTTGAAGCCTAATCTTGAAAGTAGAGATAGTGTCTGTCTCCTGAATCCAAACTGGAAGCTGGTTCCACAGAAGAGGGGCCTGAAAACTGAAGGCTCTGCCTCCCATTCTACTTTCAAATACTCTAGGAACAACAAGTAGGCCTGTCGAGTCGTTTGGT